CCTGCATGCTTTAGTGAGGTACACAGTAAGGAAGTAACACAATACAGCACACCGATCACAAACATGGGGGCATTGGCAGAAGGGGTAGAGATGATCACCCTTTGGGCACCACCCTTCAGGTGAGCCCCAACTTTCTCTGTGCTTGTGAGACACCTGTGGACTCTACCACATACTCAGCATCAGCTTCCCCCCACTTGATGTTGGTGGGATCTCGCTCCTGAAAGACGGAGGTGGACTTCCCTTTGATGATAAGCATCCCGTGCTCAGCCTCGACATTGCCATTGAACTTGCCATGGCTAGAATCATACCAGAACATGTAGACCAGGTAGCTCAGGTCAACGAAGGGGTCATTGATAGCAACAATGCCCGCTTTACCAGAGTTGGGAGCAGCTCGGGTGCCCAGGTGCCCAATGCGGTCAAATCGATCTCCTCCAACCTTCACCATCATTGGCTACAGCATGCAGCTTGAATTGCACGGGAAGAGGCAGCTGCCTGTCACATGAGGAGGAGCAGAGAGCCTGCCCCTTACTGTTCCAGAACCATCCAGCGAGGAGAAAAGCAACCTGACCTCGGTATGTGTCCTTGTCCTCCTGGGTTCTGGCCCCTCAAGTCTTGGGAGCTCCCCAAGCCTTCAGATGGATTATTTTTACCTTCACATGTTTGTCCAGGAGTCAGGATTGCTTCTGTGAAAAGGTTCCTCTGTAACAAGTTACTCGGCTGGCAAGCTACCCAAGTTTTTAACTGGTTAAAAAGTCGTAGTTGTGTGTGAAAGAAAATCCTTTTGATTCATTGAGGTGTCATTTACAGACAGTGATATGTCCGGACCTCAAGTCTAGAGTGTCATCAGTTTTAACAAACGCATTCCCCAGGTCACCCAAGATACAGAGTGTGTCCATCACTAGAAAACCCCCTTGGGTCTCGTCCCTGCTCCTCACTCGCTCTCCCTCTCCCAGCAGCTGTTGTGTGGGCTGGAGGACCTCAGTCCAGGGCCCTGGACCCTCCAAAGCGCTGCTTCTCCAGCTCTGCTCGTCTTACCACACACACACAAGCCTGATTTCTAGAAACTTCCATTTTTAAACTGGCTGTGTGCCCATAACCCTCCTCTCTCAAGACAAATAACAAACTCCCCAAAAACAGAAGCAAAAGAAACTCACTAAAATCTGGTATGTGTTCTGTATACAAACTTACAGGGACTCCTCGGCTCACAGAGCTATCACAGGGCCAAGTGCAGAGCCCCGAGCTCTCACGTCTTGCCAGCCCTTGTTGCCCCACAGGTCCATGAACAGAGCTGGCCCCAGTAGCCTGAGCCTGGAAGGGTGGCCAGAGCTACCAGCCTGCACGTTCCCTCTCCTCAGGGGGATAGCCCAGGGCAACAGCTGGGCTCAGCCACACTTCCCTTGGCTGGACACCTACTGCTCAGATGCCAGGCCAGAAGCCCTTCTCCTGCCAGTCCGGCTGTGGAGTGGAGATGGACAGAGTGCGCACAGCTCTTTGCCTGTCCCCACTCTTGTGTTCTCTGGGGACCCCAGAGAAAGTGTATAACCATTAAGTTGGCCAAAGTCTTGTTGAGGGCTTTGAGGGGTAAACTGTATTATGGTCAGGAACTTCAGGCCCCTTCAGTCCCTCCATCACAGCTGGACACAGCACCCTGCACTCTCGTCTAGTGCTTGCTCCTCAGAGCTGCTTTCAGGGTGCTATGGGTGATGCTCTGGGATGCGCCGCACCAGGGAAGGGTCACAGTGAGCCCTGGCTCCCTAGACTGCGTCCAACCCTGAGGCAGTAACTCAGCCTTTTTCCACACAGTCACACATCAAGACCCAACATCCTCCCTCTGAACCCCAGGGAGTGCCTTCCTTTATCACACACCCTCACTCAGCCTAGCCAGGCCAGGACACTGGGCGCCTCTGGCTCAGCCCCTGCACCTGAGCTCCTGCACCCATCCATGTCCATAGCCTGGTTCCGATTTCTCCCAACAAGTATGGGACCGGTGAGGTCATCTGCTAGGGAAGGTGTTGGGATGAGGCCGGGAGGGCTAAGAGGAGGAGCTATGGCTCTGTTGTAGATCCCACTGAGGCAGAGCCAATGGTAGGCTCATCGGAGGCCCACTGAAGGTCATACCCCCTTTCTTTGTTAGAAAAGAAAGTTGAGTAGACATTGAAGACTCATGAGTCCTTCTGAGCCTCTTGCCATGTATTGATAAGTCTAAGCCAACCACGGTAATTCCCAATCTCTGGCCAGTGACTGGCTGAGGCTTAGGCAAGAGCTACAACCCTGGCCAATGAGATGCACGGGGTCGCCTAGCGGGTAGATTCTCTGAAAAAGTCTTCCTCATGTTCAAAAAGGGACCCAAGTAAGGGGGTTGCCATGTCTGGACACACATCGTCACTTGAGAACTTTATGCTGGAAGTCGGGGCTGCAATCTTGTGACGTGAGGGGAAAACAAGAGACCCACAGACAACTGGCATCATTGAGCCAGAGAGCCAGTCAGCCGGGGACCTGGCCATCCACCATCCTGTGAGGTGAATACATGTATAAACGGGCACACTGCTTTACCCTCTCTTGGTTGGGCGGGCTTTTCCTTGTAACCAAACATTTTAATCGATGTGAGCTCTGTAGATCCGTCGGTGATGCCAGATGGTCAAGCCAGAGCGCGCAGAGACCCAACCGCAAACTCGCTGTCATGGAGCCCATTCTGACTCAGGGAGACGCCCCAGGCCAGGGAGAGTGTCCCCTGTGAGTGTCCGCGGCCAGAACTCTTTACAGCAGCCGAAGGAGGGAAATCCCAGGCCCAGAGAACCACCCATGTGGAATCACACTTGGCATGTGTGAAAAGAAAAACCCAAACCAAACCACTTAGGGATGGAAGTCCAAGCCCTCAAAGTTTAACCCTGTAACGCCTGAATTTTTAATTTCAGGAAAACAATTTTTTTTTTTCAGTTTTTATTCTTGACTTTCATAGTTATCAATATATATAACAACCAAAATATATGAATTTCATGTTGCAAAAACGTCACGCTCGCGTTATAGGGTTAATCGATTTTGAGAGCTGGAAAAAGAAGAAGGGAGTCCTCCGGGGCATGCTATGTGGCTGCTCCTTTTCCCGAGGCGCCTGCGCGCAAGCCCACCCTGCCTCTCCTCGGGCGGGAGCCTGGGCCCAGACGGTGGGCACCTACCACGCTGATGAGCTGGGCCAGGGAGAGCTGCAGCTGGATGGAGATGAGCTGAGAGGCGCGGGCAGCCGGGCGGATCAGCTTGTTGTAGCGGGTTGTGTTGAGGAGGCTGTCCATCAGCCTCTCCTCAGTGTTGGCCTTGCGGCAGTGCCCTGGGGAAGCACACAGTCAGACCTGCTGCCTCCTCGGGTCCCCCTGACCCTCCCCGAGGCGGGCGGCAGTGAAGGGGAGGACTGGGGTGGGGGTTGCCTAGGACCAAAGGTCCCCATGAGGCTGGGTGAAGTAGCTGCGGGGGCTGGCAGGTCTGCCTGCCTCTCTTTCAACTCAATCCACCCACGTCAGGGCTCAGCCCTCTCTGCCCAGCCTGGACTCCCCCTCCTCCTGCTTCCTCTAGCAACGAGCGGATCCCAGGCTGCAGACCACGGCCCCCCAACTGGCTGTGGATCCTGACCCTTCCTTGGTTCATCCAAGTGGCCCCCCAGGCGGGTCGATTCTGCTTTCCACATCTCTCAGCCTGATGGCCCATCTCGATCCCTCTGCTCATGGCCACACCCTGGGCTGCCACTGGCCTCCTCACTGACCCCTCCCACCTCCACTTGACCTGCTTGCACACCACCGTGGCCTTACAACACCAACTGGACTGGGACCCTTCTGTACCCATGACCTCTCAGCGCTCTAGGCAGAGTTAAAGCCAAATGTCTTGGCTTGGCATTTTAAGGCCCTTTGCCCTGGGCACCGGCTGATCTTCTCCCACCTCTCCCCATTTAGCCTCAGACACTCGAGGCTCAGGCTTCCCCCACCCCCTTGAAGCTTGCTTTCTCCAGCCAGGACTGCCACCAGACAGTCAAATCCTTGACCTTGAGTGTCTTCTCTTGTTCCAGGAACTGGGCTGTATGCAGGGGACAATGACAAGCAGTTCCTTCCCTCAGGGGGCTTGCAGTATAACAGGGCAGAGGGGTGAGCCAGACCTCGGTTTTGTTTGCTAAGTTGGATCGACAGATATGGAATATAGGGTGTGGGGGTACAGGGTTCAGATGATAGAGCACGAGGGGCCGGGTGGTTAGGGTAAGGTAACCAGATTTTAACATTGGTAAAGCGAGACACCATTGATAAAACTCATATCCTGGTGAAATAGCCACATGGCAGCCAAAAACCGTGTACCCTAGCTTGTCGTGCATTCTTTCCAAAAATTGGGACTTTTTAAAACGCCGGACACAGGAAAAGTTGTTAGAAATCGGAACTGTCCCACCAAAAGCGGGACATCTGGTCACCTTAGGTTAGGGGCTGTTTTCAAGTTGGCCCCTGACTCACTCAGAGGGACCCCATGAGCAGTGAAGTGCACTGCTGTTTGGACAATGTTCCATGGGCTCTCTCCCTGGTCTGTCTTGTCGAGAACATAGCGACATGCAAGCCTCCACTGACAGAGGGCCAGTGCTTCCTGGAAGGTGCAATGGCAGGAACCACACCTGTGTCTCCCACATGAAGGCAAGAGTTCTACCGGGGAATGGCCCATGCCTCATGAGGCGCCTTCCAAACCCAAAACCAAGCCCACCGCCACAAAGTCCATTCCAACTCAAAGTGATCCTCAGGGCAAAGTAGAACTTCTCCCTAGGGTTTCCGAGGCTACAAATCTTTATGGGAGCAGACAGTCTCACCTCACTCCCTGGAAGTGGCTGGTGGATTTGAACTGCTGACCCTGCAGTTAGCAGCCCTATGCAGAACCCACTAAGCCACCAGGGCTCCCATGAGTGGGCTGCTTAGAGACACCAAAGGGCAGGGTCCAGCTGGCAGTTGGCTTCTGCTCTGGAGTTTAAAGGCAAGGTCTCAGCTCAGAACCATAGCTGAGGCCCAGCTCAAATGTAGACCCTCCTGGTAGACTGACCTACTGGGCTCCCACAAGCCCTCTCCACCCCCCACGCCCACCCAGCTCTTTGTTGTCTGTCTCAGTTCCCTCACAAGTCTGGGAGTGAAGGTGAGGTCCAAAGAGAAGATGCCAGGTGTGGGCGGGACCCCCCTTGGACAAAAGGAAGGTCAGAGACACCTGAGCAGGGGACCAGGAACAGGACAAGAGACAGGGTGGGCAGAGGAAATGGTGCTGGGGCAAGAAGACAGGTGGGGAAAGAATGAAGAAGCCAGGGATTGGGGGGAGTGGTGGGGGGTGGACAGGGCTTGCTGGTGAAGGGCTGTCTGGCTCGTTGGGCAAGAGAGTGGTTTTCCATCCTCTCCTCCAGGGCCAGGCATCCTGCTGAGCCACCCCCTCTTTGGGTGGGGCCAGAGGGCCTGGGGCCTGGGTCAACCTGATGAAGCAGGTCCACAGTGGACTCTCGGTGGGTGCTGGGCTGGACACACAGTGAGGGGGAGCAGCCGGCCTGATCTGCGCACTTTCCAACTGGCTGCCTATCTGGAGCAGATGCAATATTTAGTGCCTTGTGAAAGATGCTCCCAGCGCATCTGCTGCCTACCGCCTTTCTCCCAGACTGCCCTGGGCTGTCAGAGGGGGGTCCTGTGGTTGCTTGGCCTAGATTCTGAGCCCTGCCACTCATAGCCTGGACCTATGGTCCCCTGAAAATTAACTGTCTCAGTTAAGTCCAAATTCACTGCTGTGGAGCTGATGTTCCCAACTCCCTACCAGAGGCCAACTGCTTGAATATTCTGGCGGCTAGCCAGTCTGCAGCTGGGTCCCTCCGTTACTCTTGGACCAAACTCCCATTTCACAGAGACTACTGGTATGTCCCAGTGGTGTCGTGGTTATGCTTTGGGATATGATCCGCAAGGTTTGAAGCCACCAGCCTCTCCGCGGGAGGAAGATGGAGCGTTCTATTCCCATAAAGAGTTTCTGTCTCTGAAACCCACAGGGGCAGTTCTATCCGATCTTATAGCAGCGATTCTCAACCTGTGAGTTGTGACCCCTGTCAGGGTCGAACGATCCTTTCACAGGGGTCACCTAATACATCCTGCATACCAGAGATTTATTTACATTATGATTCATAACAGCAGCAAACTTAGTTATGAGGTAGCAATGAAAATAATGTTATGGTTGGAGGTCACCACAACAGGAGGAACTGTATCAAAGGGCTGCGGCATTGGGAAGGTTGAGGACCACTGGGTCCTCAGAGTCACTATGAGTTGACATCAGAGTCACTATGAGTTGACATCAGCTCACAGCAGTGAGTCTGGTTTGCAGTTTGGGTATGTCCGAGACCACTCTGGGCCCAGCAGTGCTGGAGGAGGACTGGGGCCCACACCTTGGCAGGCCAGCTTAGGGTTTAGCCTGACTCTATTTCTTAGCCAAGACATTTTAGACCAAAGGGCGGGGTAGGGGTGGGGGTGGGGGGAGTGATAAGCACCGCCATCACCCCACCCCCATCCCCCAGCAATCCAGTGGCACAGCCAAGTGTGGGAGGTCTGCTACAGGCCCTCACCCTCCTTAACTTCCCTGGCACGGAGCCTGTCTCCACAGAGGGCAGAACGAGCCAGGTTCATACTTATAGCTTGTGTTTGGACATGTGTGTGCCGAGGGATGTGGGGTGAGGGCCGGAACACCAGGGTGGGTGTGGGCTAGAACACTCTTCCATCACTCAAAAGAGGGGGGAATCACGGACCAGCACATTATGTCCAGCCTTTACAGGCTACTGGTTCAAGTAACAGGGGCAGGGCTCTCAGGTCCAAATGACTGGGGTGGCCCCAACTGAGTGGAAGCTTCTGGGACACGGCTGGGGGTGAGCACACACAGTTAAATCAGGAAGCCACCACTAGGGGTCAGTCGTGACCCAAAGATTCGAATGAAGAAGTGGGCCCTTGGCCGCCTCTGGCCAGGGCCTCATTTTCCCTGGGAACCAGCCTTCTCCAGGCAAACAGTTCCCCTTAGAGAGGGGTTACAACCAGAGAGTAAGCCGCCAAGCAGGGTGCGTGTGTGTGTGTGTGTGTGTGTGTGTGTGTGGTGTGTTTACGAAAAGGCAGCTATCAAAACCAAACCACTGCCTTGCCCCCAAAAAAGAAAAAAAAAAAAGCCAAAGTTTTTTTTACCTTTTACAAAAAAACTGACCATCTACAAGGGAGGGACATAGCTTCATAAAGCTCATGGGAAAAACAGAAGGAAAAGACCATGGGATGAGAAGATCATGAAGTTTCCCCAGGAACTTTTAGAAGCTTCTTGTTCATTCAGTGCTTCTCTAACGTTTGTGTGAGAGAATCACCTGGCTGCTTGTGTTCATGCAGATTCCCAGGCCCACTTCCAGGGATTCTGATCTGGTGGGCCTAGGATGGGGCCCAGGAATCTGTGCAGGTAGCCCCCATGGGTGTTTAAGAAACTGCAGCTGGCTCACACAACATCTGAGTTCCCCGGGTGAATGAGTCGGTCGGTGGGAGCCAGGGCATACCACCCCATGGAGCAGCTGGGGACCTTGAGACCCAGAGAGGGGAAAGGACTGAGGCAGGGTCACCCAGCAAGTGGAGGCAGAGCCAGGACACACACTAATGTGCAGATTATCTCCTACACATCCTTAGCCCTATAACTCCGACAGCAACGTTTTCGTAACATGTAATTAAGACATATCTGGAACCGAAATTATGAAGCTTTTGGAGCCAACAACGATGTCGACGGAATTGTCACACTTGACTAGTACAAATGCATACCGCTAGTCACGCATTTTAGCGGCAAAATGCTTGAGTAGTGGCACGTGTTTTGACCGATTGTGCATTTGAGGTTAAATGGTTGTTGGCGTTCGGTGCATTTTATGATAATTTTCAATCTAGTGAAGTTTTAGTGTTGATATTTTTAGTATATGTTCATAAAACTGTAGTTTTATATTAAAGGTGTAATACTCATAAAAACATATTTATTATATATTTCCGCTTTTTCAAAACGTAACGAATTTTTGAATCGATGGTAACAAAAATTACCACAGCATAGATTGTGATTTGTTTTATGGAAAATGGC